GTGGCTGCTAAAACGGAGCTCCGGGAAGTTGATTTTTTCTTCCGGGAGGCAGCCCGTTTACTATTTAGCGCGTTGAGTTTTCTTCCGGGGGAAGACCGTTCTAGTAGCCACGGATCTGCCAGCCTCCGCCCAGCTTCCGAGCTTCCCTCTTTCCCTCGTCCTCGTGCCCCCGTTTTCTGTCCATGGGGAGGGAGGAGGGAGAGAAGGGGCCTCGGGGCATGATCCCCTGCATGTGCCTCCTGCAGGGGGGACATGCCCGACTCGAAGCGACTTGTCTGGCTCAGGCGCACGCCTCTCGGACTGGTGCCTCCCTCGTTCCCTCGCCCTCGCGCCCCCGCTGTGTCCATGGGCCTCCGGGCGCGCTCCCCTGCCCTGCAAAGGGAGACCTGCCACCTGGCAAATTCGGCCGGGTATGCCCGCGCTCTCGCTCTCCGCCAAGCCTGGGCGCGCTTTCCGCGCGCGAGCGCGCGCTGCCGGCCGCGCGACGGTGCTCGCGCCTCAATCCTCGCGCTTGCGCTTCGGCGCGCTCCCCTGCCCTGCTCCCGGGCGCGCCACCCTGCCGCGGGGCCCCGGGGGGGTGGGCGGACGCTGCGCCGCGCACTGCCGCGGCCCGCCCGCCGCGCGCCGCTCGCGGCCGCCGGCCGCGGGCCCCTCGAGCCCCCCCAGCGGCTTCGGGCAGGTGCGCTCGGGCACGCACGCCGGCGGCACCACTTAAGGCGCTCCCCAGGAGGAGGAGGAGGAGGAGGAGGAGGAGGAGGAGGAGGAGGAGGAGGAGGAGAGGAGGAGGAGGAGGAGGAGGAGGAGGAGGAGGAGGATGAGGAGGAGGAGGAGGAGGAGGAGGAGGAGGAGAGGGGAGGAGGAGGAGGAGGAGGAGGAGGAGGAGGAGGAGGAGGTGCTCCACCCTTCTGCAGCCTCCAAGCGAGGCGGTCTCGGCCAGGAGAGGAAGAGAGAGGACCAACCGCGGCGCGCGGGGTACTTCGGGGAGCCTGCCCGCCTCCAGCGGGCCCAGGGCGCGCCCCCCCAAAACGCTTCGGCACTCCCGGGCGACTCGCCCGGCAGCGGAGGCGCGCCGCCGCTCCGCGGGCGCCGGCGAGGACAGCTCCACCGGAGGGGCGCGTCTCGCGCCGCGCGGGCCTCCGCGAGGCGCGGAGGCCCCTGGCCGCTCGCGAGCAGCATCGCGCCCAGGCCGCGGTGCCCCGGGGTCCTTGTGCGCCTCCGCGTCCCGGACCGCCTGCACCTCGCTGCCGCAGCGCGAGCTGAGTGAGGAGCACGCGCCTGATGATGATGATGATGATGATGATGATGATGATGATGGTGATGATGATGATGACGATGATGACGATGATACTGCTGCTGCTGTTGAAGATGATGATGGTTATGATGATGGCGACGCTGGTGGAGATGATGCTTATGATGATGGTGATGCTGCTGCTGATGGTGGTGATGATGCTGACGATGACTATGTTGACAATGCTGGTGCTTATGCTGCTGATGATGATGATGATGCTGATGCTGATGATGCTGATGAAGAGTCGGATGATGCTGATGCTTCATATTCCGATTAGGACGATGATTCTGATTATGATGCTGAGGCTGCTCCTGCTTCTGTTTTTGATGATGTTGAGGATGATGATCAGGATGAGGATGATGGTGATGCTGATGATGATGATGATGAGGATGATGATGATGATGCTGATGCTGATGATGGTGATGATGCTGATGCTGCCGCTGCGGCTGCTGCTGATGACGACGAGGAGAAGGAGAAGGAGGAGGGGGATTATGATGATGATGATGATGATGATCATGATCATGATGATCATAATGATCATGCTGATGCTGATGCTGATGCTGATGCTGATGCTGATGCTTCTGCTGCTGCTGATGATGATGATGATGATGAGGATGATGATGATGATGAGGAGGAGGAGGAGGAGGAGGATCCCCGCACGCTGCGCAAGTGAGCAGTCGTCTCAGGGCGAACGCGCGGCGCGCGCCCGCGGCGGCCCGTAAGGCGGGACAGGCCTACGCGGGCGGGCCGTGCGACGCTCTCAGGCGGCCTCGTTCAACGAGGGCACCCGGGCGGCCAAGGGAGGCCGCAGCAGCGCCGCAGGTCAGCCTTCGAAGAAGGAGGGAGGAGAGAGGGAGGGGGCCGAGAAGCTGCAGACGACTGCAATCAGCGGGCGCGATGGGGATAAGAAGAAGCATCCCCGCACGCTGCGCAAGTGAGCAGTCGTCTCAGGGCGAACGCGCGGCGCGCGCCCGCGGCGGCCCGTAAGGCGGGACAGGCCTACGCGGGCGGGCCGTGCGACGCTCTCAGGCGGCCTCGTTCAACGAGGGCACCCGGGCGGCCAAGGGAGGCCGCAGCAGCCACACCCAGGCTCAAAGCCCTTGCGAAGTGACAAGGTTTCGGCGGGCGGCCGCGAGCTGAATGGGCCACACAGCCGGGCCAACATTCAGAAAGGATGCGACGAGGAAGTCGCTGGAGTCGGCGAGGTAAGAA